AAAAAAGCCAATTAAAAAATGGGCAAAAAACAGACATTTCTCCAAAGAAGACATCCAGACAGCCCACAGATAAATGAAAAGATGTTCAACATCACTCATCATCAGGGAAATGCAAATCAAAACTACAATGAGATATCACTTCACACCTGTCAAAATGGCTGAAATCAACAACCCAAGAAACAACAGGTATTGACAAGAATGCAGAGAAAATGGAACCCTCCTACACTGTTGGTGGGAATGCAAACTGGTGCAGCCGCTGTGGAAAACAGTATGGAGGTTCCTCAAAAAGCTAAAAATAGAGCTACTATATGATACAGTAATTACCTTAGTTGGCATTTCCCCCAAAGAATATGAGAATACGAATTCAAGAGGATGTATATGCCCCTGTGTTTATTGAAGCATTATCTACAATTGCCAAACTATGGAAGCAGCCCAGGTGTCCGTTGATAGATGAATGGATAAAGAAGAGGTGGTGTCTATTTATAATGGAATATTATTCAGCCATAAATGAATAGAAGGAAATATTGCTATTTGCCACAACATGGTTAGAGCTAGAGAGAATAATTCTAAGCCAAATCAGAGGACAAATACCATATGAGTTCATTTACACGTGGAATTTAAGAAACAAAACAAATGAGCAAAAGAAAAAGACAAACCAAGAAAACAGAGTCTTAACATAGAGAACAAACTGATGATTACCAGAAGGGGGTGATGGTGTGGGGAGATGTGTGAAATAGGTGATGGGATTGAAGAGTACACTTATATTAAAAAAAAAAAAAAGGGCAAATCATGGACTCTACCCCAAACTCCCTGAATCTGAAACTCTGGGGATGGGGCCTAGCTCTCTGTTCTATCGAATCTTCTAGGTGATATTGATGTGTGCTAAGGCTTATGAACCACTGAAAAATGTAACCTGTCACATCTTGCAGAATCAACCACTGTGGACGACTCCTCAAAGTGCCTGCTTTCCTGTCTACTCCCCATACTGCCCTGGCCCCTCCTTGTAGTTTTCCCCCACCCGTCAAAGCCCAAGCAGCTGCTCCAACCCACTGAGCCTGAGCATCTGCCTCAGTCTTGGTGGGCTCTCTATAGATGTGTACATTCTTCAGGAAAAAGCAGCTGTGTCTCTTTTGTTACTATCAATCACTTCAGCCAACAGTGAGTCAAAGACAGTATATTAAACGATTCACTGCTCAGTAGTGATAAAGGTGAGAGGATTGATACCCACGTCCTGTCACATATGCGCTAAGCGGGATGGCCAGATTGAGACAATTCTGCTTTATACCCTTTTATTCCTGCCTCATGAATAATCCCATAAGTGCTCTGGTTTAGATGATAAATTATATTGCAGTGAACTGAAATCAGAAGTAATTCTAATACCATTGGGAAGTGGCCAAAGAAAGACTCCCCGAGAAGCAAATGTTTTAGGGCTTACAAATAAATGGTATCCAGTGACAATAGGTAGGCACGAGGGACTGGTGTTTGGGATGAGACTAGAGAAACCTTAGAGCCTGAGAGTTCAGAATAAATAAGGATGTGAAATAGCAGGTTACATTAAGGGAAGATGAAGTGGTTCAAGAAGTCGGGAGCCAGTGTCTGGTGGGAACAAAAATAGATGAAGCTGGTGGCAGAGTGACTTAAGGCAACGTTTTCCAGAAAAAGTAAAGGCAAATTTTGTTCCTCATTGTTCCCCCAATATAATATCAATATAGGCTCTTTGGATCATTATTAAAAAGAAACCTAGTATGTCTTTGTTTCCCTATTTATGTTGGCTCTCTGTATTTGAAATGCTTATTGCTCCATTTTCCATCATTTCTGGACTATATTTCAAACAAACAATCATTGTGTAACATAGCAGAATAATAATTCAATTTCAAGTTTGGTTCACGTTTTCAAGTTCAGTTCAAAAAAAGATACCAAATGGTCTACACTGCATAATATTTTATGCCTTTATCATAGCAGAACAGTAATGCTGGAGTATTGAGATATATGGCCTGTCGAGAACAGAATGGGGAGAATTATGCAAATACCTAACTAATATGTTGTGATATTGTTTTTCTGAATGTTAATATGATGAATGAATTCTGTTGAAAATGATCATATGGCGATTTCTTTTCTGTTGCTGATTAGTAAAAATTACATGTTTCATGTGGTTTTGGGACCTTGCAAAGTGTACGCAATCGTTTTGCATGACAAAGCTGTTTTAAAGAAAGCATAAATGTTTTAAAATCATGATAAAATTGTATATTTGATTTTATGCGACTAGTTAAGGTTGTTATCCTTTGTTGCTGTTGTTGAGCATTAAAGGTGTGTTGGGTATTGACAAAGCTTGAAAGGCTTTGCCCTTGGGGCATTGCACATAAACTGATCTCTTATGCCATTGAGCATCATTATCTTCATCACATAAGCTTCTTGTCATGGTCCTGTTTCTATGTGGACAGTATAGATACCATGTCCCTCTTCTCTCTCTCTCTCTCTCTCTCTCTCTCTCTCTCTCTCTCTCTCTCTTTTTTTTACCAGAGCTAGTATATCTTCTTTACCCTCTACAGTCTGCAGTAATGAATTTTACTAAATAACCTTCATTATTCAGTTAATTGTTGCATTTTCCTAACTACTAATACAGAACACATTTCGGAGTTAATAGCTGTCTGGAAAGGAAGAAGAACAATCGATAAACTCCTACATTATCCTTTGTTTAAATATCACATAAGTAATTAACATATTTATTAATGCATTTACCTAGGCAAACATTATTCTTTGAGGGCAGGTAGCAATTAATATTATGTTTTAATTTTGAAAACCTATAATTAGAATAATTAACTAAAGAATAGTCTAGTATCCTTTACTAAAATATATATGATGAGATATTAATTTCTCAGCATGCCATAGAGTATCTGATTGTAGTTTAACTGTTTTTAAACAACATATATGAGCAGCCCCGGTGGTGCAGCGGTTTAGCGCCGCCTGCAGCCCGGGGTGTGATCCTGGAGACCTGGGATGGAGTCCCACGTCGGGCTCCCTGCATGGAGCCTGCTTCTCCCTCTGCCTGTGTCTCTGCCTCTCTCTCTCTCTCTCTCTCTCTCTCTCTCTCTCTCTCAATAAATAAATAAATAAATAAATAAATAAATAAATAAATAAATAAATAAATCTTAAAAAAAAACACAGCATATACTTTCAGTTGAATCTCCTATCAGCATATTTATAGTTAGATATACATGAATTTCATAATTAATGTTTTTCTATTTATAAACGTAAGTGCAGTTGGCCCTTGAACAGCATGGGGGTGAGTGGCACTGATCCCGGCACCGTTGAAAATCTTTGTATTATTAGAAAAAAAAAAGAAAAAAGAAAATCTGTGTATTAACTTTTGACACCCCCAGAACTACTGATAGCCTACCGTTGACTCAAAGCCTCACTCATGACATAGACCATTTACACATATTTTGTAAGTTATATGTATTACATGCTGTATTCTTAAAGTAAGCTACAGAAAAAAGTTAAGATAATCATAAGGGAAAATACATTTATTGTACTGTACCATAATTATTTAAAAAATTGTAAAAACTATATATGAGGGGACCCATGCTGTTCAAACCTGTGTTGTCCAAAGGTCAAGTGTATTTACAAATCAATGTTCTTAATAATTTTCTGACCTAACGATTATGTTTGAGACCTGAGAAAGGCACAGAATGTGAGTGATAAACTAGGAAAGTGTTGGACGATTTTTTTATAGAAATAGCTAAGAAGTCTCTTAGTCCTGGTGTAAAAACTGTCACTTCATTTTAATAAGTCGGCTTATCTTTACTCACCATTCTTACCAATTGAAGTTTAGATACAGGCAGAGTCTACGGCTTATCATAAATCCTTAAAACAGAAAATGCCCTCTTGTGTTTTAAGGACTGGTCCTTTTGGGTTAGAAGGCAATTTGTAATATTTATTAGATAAGCAGTAAATCATGGGCTCTTTCAAACCAGCACCATCAGGGAGGATTTACCATTTACCATTTTAAAATTTGTTTTTCCCTGTGCAGCTCAGGACTTGCAAATCATTTGTATAACTTTTTTTTTTCATATTGTTAAAATCTTGAACTTCCAGCAAACAGGAAACCCAAGGCAAAAAGAAATAATCATTAGACCACAAGTCTACAAGAACAAAAATTACGAGAATGATTTCAGCATCTCTCTGTTATACGTTGATTTGGTTTTCATTTGAATATGCATGTCAGATAGGGCTTAACATCATTATTTTTGCTGTTAATAAATCCCTAGCTGTATAAAACAAAGAAACAGGCTGTTCGCTCTGTTTACCTATTTACAGCCTTAAAATTGAACCCAATTCTTTTTTTTTTTTTTTTTTTGGCTTTTTGTATGTTTCTGGGATAGCACTGCATATCACTTCTTGAAGTATAGTTTCAAAGAATAGTATGGCTCTATCTGCAACAATTCTAACCTTGCAAAGCAGACCTGAAAGTAACCTCAGAGATGTGAACTTGTTAATATTTATTCCGTGTTTATTAGTCTAATTAAGCAAATGCTAAATGGACCTTTGTATGTTCTTTCAATATTTTTAGTGCTGCTTAAATATATGAAATTAATACATCTCAATACAGATAGCCTTGTTTTTAATGTGCTTCAGAGAGAGAAGCTATTTTAAATGACCAATAATGAAAATCAACTCAACTCTTAATTGTAATATATGTTTAACTGTATCTGCTTTATTTCTTGGTTCAATAGTCTATGCAAGATTTTTTTAAAGAAAAAAAAAAAAAAAAACAAAACCAACTCTGTGAATACACCAGACAGATACATTGGGATATCCTGCAATGAAGGAAAAGGCATAAAAAATATGACCAAATAATGAGATGTAGATGTACAGCACACGTATATCTTAGCTTCAAATCATGTTGATCTCTGTGTTTTTCTCTGTAGTGACTTTATTTGTTTCATAGGATTAAAGTAGTGGTTTCCAAGTTGAAGCTCACTTAGTTTTGTGCTCTGCAGGTCAGTTTCTCCTGGAAGAAGCTCGCCTTATAGAAGCCGCTGAGATGGCAAAAAAAGCAGCTGAGTTGGACAGCACAGAGTTTGATGTGGTCTTCAGTGCTGCCCACATGCTCAGGTGAGTTTTGCTACTTACCGTAGAAGACTGACATTGTGGCTTGGGGAAAGCAGTTAGGTAGACTGATTCCCCTGTCATACTGCTTTATTCCACATTCTTGAAGTGATTTATGCTGTTTTACCATGCTAAAATCTACTAGGAGTATTTTATTCGTTATAGTTTATATGCCCAGTATGTAGGACATATAAGCATTCAGGACTCTGAAAAGTATTGAAAATCATTTTCCTTTCCTTTCAGAAATGACTATAAAATGCAAAAAGGAAATTGTAAAATTAAAATTAATAACCGTTTAAGTAAATGTCTAAAACAAAACAGGTTGACTAGTCAACTGCATCTCAGTATTTGTGTTTTATGTTAATTATATTGAATGTGGTATGTGAATGCATTTTATTATATTTGGTGGAAGAGAGGATTGATAGGTACAAATATACCTAAAGCCTATCAAAGTCTCGGGATAGCACTGTACTTAGCACTGTTGCTATGTATGGAAACTACATCTTTGTAGACCTTTTAGTACTTCTGTATTCAGAATGATATTATGAAGGCTAACTATAATAATAGCAAAAACAATTAAAAGGTAGATCAACAATTTTTATTGTGAATATAAGAAGAAAGTTAATGCATCTTAAGTGATGTTTTAGGTTAAAGGAGAATGTTTCTAAGAAACTCAAATGATTTCTACAGTTGTTTTTTTTTTTTTTTAAGCATTGTTTGTTGTGTTAGCCATATGTGTTCCCCTTCTCCCATACTCTTACCTGAATTTCATTCGATTAAATCTCCACCTAAATGCTTCATTAGCTGACATCCACACTGTGGGCTCTGTGCTTGGCTTTAGGAATAGGATTGTAATTATGTAGATTTCTCTTACAAGGAAAGAAAAATGCCAGAAGAATTTCTTCACATTTGGATGGCCTTAACAAATGGACTTTTAAGAAAAGTAGTTTTGTTTACTTTTCTCAGATCATTGTAGATTTTTGTGCAGTTGTAAGAAATAATACAGAAAGATCCCTTGTACCATTTATCCAGTTTCCCCAATGGTAATATATCGTAGAATGACAGAATATCAAAACCAGGGTATTGATACTGATGCAATCCACTGGTCTTAAATGAGTTTCCCTAGTTTTGCTTGTACCCATGTGCTTATGTGTGCGTGTGTGTGTGTATTCTCTGCTTTTTTAAATCACATGTATGTAGGTTTGTGTATCCATCACCAGTCAGAGTACAGACTATTTCCAATACCACAAGCATCTCTTGTGTTGTCCTTTTATAACCTAATGGCTTCCTACTTAACTGTTTACAAGTTTCAAAGAGGAAATTCAAAGCTTGTTTGAGAGCAAAGTTCACTCTGAGGTTTCAGTTGAATGCGCTCACTCCACATTTAACATTTCACATTCCTAAAGCTGGTATCTACAAAGAGAAACGAGCATTCAATCAACTATTGGCATATTTATAAAACAAACCATAGTCAATCTCAAGAACCTTTAATGCAAGGATAATTTTTTAAAGATCCCGCATTTGCATGACAGGTGTAGGTGCTGTTCTAGGGAGAGGACTTTTTGTTCTTCGTGAATAAAACACTGTGCTTTTAGTCACAGTAAACTATTTGCCAGGATGGAGATGCACAACTTTCTATAGGCTAACAACTTCTCTTAAACACAGCAGGTACTTTCCTCAACAAGGCATTTTGCTACATATTAAATCAATATCTGAAATTCATGGTCTACCAATGGAATCCCATTAGGAGAAAGTTACCAAACAAAGTCCTGGTTAAATAGATCACTTCCAACTTTTCCTTAGCTACCATAGTGCTGGAAACCAGTGGAAAATTTCTATTCTACACTGGCGATGTGGAACTCTTTAGGGTTTGTTTTTCAGAACCTTCTTTCTGGCTTTCTGCAGTCTACATTCCTCATTATCCTGCCATCAGCACTTTCCTAATCTTGATTGCAATTATGACCACAGCAGCCCAGCTATGTCCTACTCCACGTGGTGGCAGCCCCCATGAATGTTTTTCCTTAATTTTTCTGTTTTTTGACTTTATTAAATTCTTGTTATTTCTTGAGCACTTAACCGTGCAAGTTGTACACCAGCCTCTTTCCTTATTCGTCAAGAGCATTTAGGACTTTGCTGAAAGGAGTAAGAAGGTTACTGGTTTTTACCTTGAAAGCAACCTTATCAAAATCCTTAGCTATCAAGATTTTGCTTATTTATTGTTACATGTGATTTCCTCTGGGGATGCCAAATTATTGTAAATTGACTTTGTTATTAATTCTTCCCTCAGAGCTCACTTCTTTTGTAAGATACTTAGGAGACAAAACTGGCAGTTTGTGAGGTAAAGAGTATGAGGCAGGGGATGAGGGAAAGAATAGCTGTCTCCCTGGTTGTGTCTTGGTAAGCTGGATTATTGGCTACCCTCATATCCAAAATCGGCAATTGAGGGAATGTTAGAGTTCAAGAAATGATTTGGCTAATTCCTAGTGAAATGACTCATAGACTCTATCAAGGAAGAAAAACTCACTACAAATGCAAAAAAAAAAAAAAGGCTTTCCACCTTAAAACTAGACTGGAAGAGACGAGGAGATCCTGGGGCTAGCCATCAAGGGACAAATCTGTATAGTGTTTGGACCTTCAAGAGGCTTGAAATTTGAGAAGTTTCTAACAGACCCATTTCAACTCTCAATAGTGAATAATGAATGATTTTTCTCTGTATAATCAGCACATAGAAAGCCTTCAAATGGACAGTTCAGATAAGAATGACAAATCAGATGTATCCAAGTAAAGAGCCCTCATCAATGAGGTGAGACTTACATTAAAACCTAAGAGCCACTTGGAATATCTGTATTTCCTGTTATCAAGGTGATTCATAAGAATGCTGTGTGGTATGGAAATATCAGTGCTGTTCACCAAATGTGCAGGCCTTCCACCTTCAATAAACATAGTAGGATTGTATTTTTCTGCCTTCTTTCAAGTTGAAGAACTTCATGGTTCTTATTTGGATTGTTGAATGTGTGTGAACATGATGTATGTCACTTTTGAGCCAAAGCTATAAGAGTCCATGCTCTTTCCTTTTCTGACTTGGAAACTGTGAAAATAGATTCTGAAATGACCAGAGGGACAAACCTCCCTACTCATCTGCATTGAGTGAGTGAGAAATAAACCTTGTTTTCTCAACTCACTGAGACTTAGGATGTATTTAAATTACAACAGTGTACCCTAACCTAGCCTGACTGACACAGAATACATCTGTAAAAATAAAATAGGGAGCTTGAAAGAGGAACAGTATGACATTAGAAAAGATTACTAAGAGATTAACAGAATCTCTGAGTTTGTAACTGCAGCAGAGACAAGACATCATTGAGAGGCTGATAATTTAAATAGAAGTTGTAGATCTCTTCTCAGAATTTAATGGAAAGTACTAAAGACATCAAAATGACACCTGAAAGGATAAAAGATTGGAGGCTAGATTGAGAACATTATATAAACACTCAACATTACATATGTGTTAGTATAATTATATATATAATATATAGATATGTATATATGTGGTATAGTATCTGATATATAGTTTTATTTGTATATACATAAATACATATTTACATGCTATATATGTGTATATAATTATATTTAGGATTTATACATATATATAGCTTCTTTTGGTTTTGTATATGAGCATCAATATAAATAGGAAATTTCTGGAGGCAAGCATAGAACACGTAAGCAATTATCAACAAATACAGGACATTTCCCAGCTAGGATGAAGGCCTTCAATCATCATATTGAAAACAAAACTGCTGAAAATAGATTGGTTCCTAAACTTGTCTCCATGTGCAGGTTATACTTTTTTGTTGCCAACTAAAGAATACACCCTTGCCAGTTTAAGCAGAAACAGGATTTATGAAAGAGTATTCCATAGCCCACAGACTCATTCTCGGGCTTGAGAGCACTCTACACTGTCAGAAATAATACCCAACCATCTATCTAGCTTTCCCTGGGAGTGAGCAGATTTTATAGTCCTGAGCCCCACCACCATCACCATCACTCCCAAGAAACCAAGCCGAGCAAGCGCCACATGGCTTCAGTTATTCTCTTGGATGCAGCTGCCTCTGGGCTAGGCTGGCTTCTGACTTGTCTTGAGGTTGCATCTGATTGGTGGAATGGGTGTCATGTCCTGGAATCTCAGCTACCAGAAAGTCGGAAGAAGTGGGAATTTCTGGCTTCTGCCTTCAGAAGGTGGGCTCCACATGGTGGCTAATTACCAAAAATATTTATAGAGAGGGTGATCACAGAGGTTGAGTGGCCTCACATTACAGACATTAACTATATGTGTTGACATTTTTAGTAGTTCAGATAAAATGGGGAAAGTACTAGATAAGAGTACTATACTCCAGATGAGGGTATTCTAAGAAAGAAGATTGGTTATCATCAAAGGAAAATATCAGAGGCATTTAAAAATGCTAGAACTCCAGTCGAGTTATAACTATAGAGTTGTAAGAAGAACGTATTGAGTCAATTATTGTTAGCATTTTGTAGGAATGAGGCCATTCAGTGTTCTCCTAAAACTAGGTGATAGAGCAGAAAGATACTGGATCCCAGGAGGACTTCCAGAGGCACTCAAACTTTACCTGATTCGTAGCATTCCTGGGCTCTCAGAGAATCTTTTTTTTTTTTTTAATCCACTCACAGGATAAAGGAAGATCAGAAGTAGCATCTATTTAAATATCTCTTGTCGGCCTCCTATATTTTGCATCTTGTATCTGTCACTCTCTTAGTTATAATCACACCTATGTGAGGTAGACAACAGTATTCCCATTTTATATTTGAAGATACTTAGGCTTAAAGAAGAGGGTTTCCCACAGTTGGTAAAGCTGGGATTTGATTTTAGTGTTTTCTGGCCTAGTATAATACTGTTTTCACTGTGTCACATTGGCTCCCTCATGTCTTTACAACTGGGTGACTATCCAGAGGCTGTGATTCTTAAATGTATTGTTGGAGAAAGGATT